TTTTTTTTTTTTTTTTTTTTTTTTTTTTTTTTTTTTTTGTAGAGACAGAGTCTCACTTTATGGCCCCCTACACAGCTAACAGCAACTTCCGACTCCTGGGCTTAGGTGATTATCTTGCCTCAGCCTCCCAAGTAGCTAGGACTACAGGTCCCTGCCACAACACCCAGCTATTTTTTTGTTGCAGTTTGGCCAGGGCCAGGTTTGAACCCGCCACCCTTGGTATATGGGGCTGGTGCCCTACCCACTGAGCCACAGGTGCTGCCCCAGAAATAACTTTTATTGTTATTGTTGTTATTGCTTGGTTTTTTTTTTTTTGTTTTGTCACTTGTCTTTCTGTGTCATTTGTCTAAAGAAGGTTACCATAGGGTGGAACTCAGGCCTAGCTTCCCCACCCTCCCCAGCCCGATGTTCAAACTAGTCCCACATACCAGCAGTTATATGGTTCCTGCTGGTCCAGTGTTTTTTAAGACAAACTTTGTTGTGAGTTCCTGATACAAAAACCATATGAGGTCTCCCTCTTATCCTGTTCTATGTCTCTGAGCTTTACTTTGTGACTGAGTGGGAGTTCCAGAGGGCATGTTTTGTCAGGAACACATCAGGTGGCCAGTCTGAAAAGACTGGGAGTCCAAGACAGGTAAGATTCTAAGCAACACACTGTGTGTACCGTGTCAAGCTCTGAGGAGTAAGTCTTTTGTCACTGTCTATTCTAACATAAGTCTATTTCGGAAAATGAAATTGTGGGCATCTTGGAAATGGCCTTTTCTATGAAGAGGCATTGGACCTTATAAAAAGGCAATGAATTGAATAGCTTTTAGAACAAATATACTGCTGTAATTAAGTGGTCAAAAGATGAATCCTATCAACTAGAAAAACTTTAAAGAAAATTTTAGAGAGCTCTCATTTTAATCAATTGCCTTATTTATATTTATGGGAAGATCAAATTGAAAGAAAAGCAAACATCAGTGTTATGGCTAGCCTTAAAAACTCCCTAAAAAAAAAGAACTGACGAGCAGAAATCTGAATTAGAACAAAAGTTAAAATCTGTCTTCACCTTAAACCCCTTTCCAACTTATACTCCTCTCTATCCTCAATTACCTGTCCCTAATCCCCCAGAAAATCTTTTGGACAATAGGCAGGGCCCCAGCTCCCTCCTTTCACAAGGCAAAACAATGGTGTGAATGGCCCCTGTCCATATTCCTATTTTTTACTATATCTATAGCCCCCTCTTTTTTTTTAA